CTGTCACACTGGCTTGAACTGTGGAAAACTAACTACTGTGCTAACGGCATGAAGCCCCTGGATGATGCTACAGAGATAACTTCCCTGCTGCCCACACAGCGTCACTCCTTTGTGACAGTCACTCCAGACATCTAACCTCCAAAGGAACACAGTGTTGATCTCTAGGTGATGGCAAAGCCTATAGAAGTCACAACTGGTTCATGGATATAACACCTGGAATTCAGAAACAGTGGGGTTTTGAGCTAGAAGAACAAGAGCAAGGGGACACAGACAAGCCAGTGACACCATCAAGACCACAACCCAGGACAACTCCCATCTCCTCACTAGTGCTTCCCCTACTGTGCCAGGATGATGTCTGTAGGAGCGAGGGACAAGAGGACAACACGATAACTCAAACCTTACAGCCTCAGTCCTCAGAGCATTTTCTAAATCTGCTGGCTTTGCTGAAGCAATTAGTCATCACCAGGAGGGCTCACGGGAGGTTCTCAGTTGAGGCTTAGAACAGGTTCACCTTCCCATCAATCATTCCCTTCAAGGCTGGCGTCCTTCCCAGGCTGTTTCCCCCTCTAGCCAGAAGAGCTCCCGAGAACATTATAGCAGCTCCTTCCATGAGCAAATTGAGCTCAGTCAGTCAGTTCAATGTTGAGGTTGTGTAGTTTCTAAAGGAAGCAATATCTCTTCAGCATCCTGTCCTTGGAAGTAAGGCCTATCCCCAGAAGCCCTTGGTGAGCATGGCCAGCCCAAGTGTAGGGGCAGAGTACCGCCTCTGGTTAGTAGCTCCAACCAGGGGAAAAGACTCACATGAAGAAAATTCCTTTAGAGTAACAAACACTTAGAAATAAATAAAGTACAAACACAAAGACTTCTAGGAGATTCATAAGTCATGTATGTTTTTAGTGTGGTCCAGGATCTAGAGTCAAATGAAAAGCATGAAACCTAATATGGATGAAGCCTACGAGAAAACAGACATGAAAAGGGGAGAGCTCAAGGGGTCCCCCACTTTTGCTGTGTGATAGGCCATCCATTTGAAAAGGGTTCTTCGCTGCTTCTATTTCACTGTGTGCTCTGGGTCTCACAGCCTGGAAGAATCAAGGGGACAGTATCCTGACCTCATCATCTGGGGAATGGGACTTATGGCACCAGTTCTGTTCTTTGGAAGTATGTGCTGGAACCCTGCACACAAGTGCACACGCAAAACAACTATGCGCTCTTGTTTTACCTATACCTTTCTTTAAACACTTTCAAGATATTTAGTAGAAATAAGACCTAGGCCCTTTATAAAGAGGAGAGTCACAGTATGCAGCCGGGGTGAACTGCTCAGAAACAGTTGAGGACAGACCAAATGGCTCCATGCGCCTCTACTTTTAAAAGGAACTTTAAAATAGAATTTACCCCAACCTCTTCTCTTCACAGACCATGGAACAGGGACCCACAGAGGTCACCTGATTGGAACACTGCCACAAGTCAGTGGGTGGCAGAACCACAACCAGACCTTGAGAGTCCTCCATCGGTGCAAGTGCCCGTCTGTCACCTCCACTTTGCTGTGAGGAGAGAAGAGGGCACAGGCTGCACAGGTCCGAGGGAGCAGGTAAGCCCAGAAGCAAGAAGGTGGGTGGGTCTGCTGGGTGGCCACAGCAGCGAACAGAAAGGAGGGTTAGAATAACGAGCGCCCACATCCTACAACAAACTTTGGAATGAAAGAAGAAAGTGTTAAAGACAAATCCTGAGTGCAAACTACAAACTTCAAGACAAAGATTCCACAGTCAGAAGACTATGCCATGTGCAGGTTAATAAGGAGCAGGAAAATAATTAAGCTGTATGACCTAGTGACAAGGTGTTTGTCAACATAATGAATCTACTCCGCTCTCATTTCCTACTTAAGCAGGGTGTATTCTAGCATCATGTGTTTCCTTGTAATTTGGTTTTGAGAAACCTGTATCAAAACATGCTGGATACTAGCTGGAGTACAGATGACTAGCCCAGTCTACTCCTGTTACTGAGTCCATCTCCCAGCTTCCACTCAGAAACCTGAATGCTAAGTAAGCTTCCCAAAATTGCTAACATTCCAGAAACAATGCTATCTGCCATCATGTCACTGCCCATTTTCCCCCTAGTTTTCCCCATTCCCATGTCATAGGGACAGCTGTCAAGACACACAGTGAATGCCCCTAAGGAACAAAAGTGCTTGGAACCCATCCCATTTCATTATCAGGCCTCCACTTCCCACCATACCATGAAGACCAGGTAGACTTAAGTGTGCTAGGCAACTGCTGACTAGATCTGGACATTCATATGCCTAGAATCCCAGTGCTATGGTGAAGCAACCACCCCACAGGATGCCTGGGGCTTGCCAGCCTAACTCCAGGTTCAGTGAGGGGCCCTGTCTCAAGGGAATAAGACAGACAGGACAACCAACGGACTTCCTTGGCTTCCATATGCACATGCGTGCACAGGTCATACACAGAACCACCCCCACCAACACCCACAGATATTCACACACTCACAATATACAATAACAATGGCTAGAATATACCCACAATTGAGCAAGGCAAGTAACAGATAAATGAGGTTATTTGTGGAGTACAATGTCTGAAAGAAGACAGAAAAAGAGGTGTAGAGATTAAAACTTCACTTTCTCTTTAGCCCACTGCTGTTGTTTATCTGCAAAATCCCCAAGGCTTCTGCCTACATAGCTCTAGGGTACTTGTTTTTATTTATTGTTTCAGTTCTTAAGCTTAAACTTCAATGCTCACAATCAAGCTATTGCTTTTGACAGCAACACAGGCAAACGAAAACAATTTTAGATGTATAAATATTAATAGGGGGCAAAAAAGGTAGCTGGGTATGAGGATTATTGTAAAATGATTAATTTCTGAGTAACTATGTTGAAAAATGTGGTTTTTCCATTATGAAAATGATGGAATTTAAATGTCAGTAGATTCTTAACTTTAAAATTCACACTCACATAAAACAAGATCTAAAGTCACCTGCTCTGTAATAGCTTTGGGGTGTGTGTGTCTTAAATTCAAAATGTTTCAATGGTGAATGGTCATACATGGACATGTCTGATCTCATCTCAAAATGATTTAACAGCATCATCTTCACTGAGGTAAGAAAATAATCTTGACCAACCTTGATCATCCAGGGATGAGAGAAACGGCCTTTTGTTTCTTCATGACTACATGTTTTCCCCATATTAGTAAACTACACAGCATACACATGAAACAAATTTGACATGGGAAAACATTCACTAGGACTCAGAATACTTGCGGTGTCCCTCATCCTGCTCTGGTGTTACAGGTTGTGAGTCTCAGTAGGATACCAAGAAAAAAGAACTTGTTGCCAGATAGTAAATATTACATGTACAACATCTAGGGCTGTTTGGCAATTTTTTTTCCTGATGCAACTATCATAAGATGGAATAAAAAATAGACAGAATCTTAAGGTCTAGGTTCAATTCTAGCTCTGAATGTCAATAGTTTTATATATTTATTTACCCACATATGACTTTAAAGTAAGAGTTGTTGTAAAGGTTTTCTCATAGGCTAATGTTTGTGAAAACATTCTAAATTACAAAAGGCAACAATCCGCTTGGGGAAGCTTCAGTTATGAGATCTCATGACCCCTGGAAACTCCTTCCACACAATATGCATGGTCAAGAGCAGCTGCATAGAGAGGGAATTGGGTATAGGAAAGAATAAAGATGGCTACCTCAGATCAAAGGTCAAGACTATATCTCCCAACCAAGCATGGGCTCCAAAGAAGAACCCTCTTGAGCATTCTCAGAGGAGCCAAGACATTAAGTCTGGAAGAAGGCAGAGTTTGGTGAGATGGCTCAATCTTTTATCCAAACTTTTGCCAAGCAATGACTATGATACACAGTGTTTAAGGCATATGAAACCCAACTAAGACAAAAATGGGAGCAGTTGAAAAGTGGGATTTCAGAATTCCCCAGGAACCTTCTGAGCCTCTGATTGGTCTTGGTATGTACCAAGGAACACCATTTTAGTCTCACTATTACCTACCTTTTCTGGGCGTGTTTCCCTATCTGCTAAAATAAGATTATTTGAATAACTAGTTCTGCCAGCTGTCATAGGCTAGGATTCTAAACAAAAAATGCACACATGGAAACCATCAATTCTTGCCCGGTGCTGGTTCCTGTTAAAGTTCTTCCTTCTGGAATCTGGAAATCTCAGGTTTCAACTAGCCAGGTTACCCTGAAGCACACGTGGGTCTTCAGGCTAGGAGTCAGCACTACCTATCAGCATGGACACGACATGGCTCATGCTGCCTCACCTCTGAGCTCTGAACATGTGGAATCACTAGCAGCAATGATGGCAGCAGAATGTGGGCATGTACCTATTCCCCAAGAGTCCTCTGAAAGCCCCCTGTCTCAGTTTCCGGTTCCCGAAATTGGCTATCATGCCCACTTCTTACCAGCACCTTTGTTGTTGTTGTTGTTAAAGACACTATGTCTCACTATGTAGCTCTAGCTACCATCAAACTCACAGAGATCTACCTGCTTCTGCCTCCTGAGTGCTTGGAATTAAAGGTGTGGCCCCACTACAACTAGCCCCTAACCAGCTCCTTCTATGGACTGAACTCTTCATGTTTTCCTCATTTATACAAAGCCCCAGGCTGCAATTTCAGTGCAGATGTCCATCGGTACTCTGCCTGGTTGACAAACCTCAAATCTGAATCTAACGCTGAATCCAGTTCCAAGCAAGAAGAGAATAGAATGCCGTTTCTGCCCTGGATATATACAACTCATGCTCTACTTCCCTCTAGCCCAGTCTTCTTGATTTCTAGAATATTCCATGCCCATGCTGACTTGTGCATCCATCCTTCCATCCAGTGCCTTTTCACTGCTTTGTACATCCGGGCTCTATGTTTTGCTGATACAAAACTGAACAAAACACGAATTCCCTTTGTATTAATTACTCTCCTCATCACTGTGACAAAATACCAGATAGAAATGACAACCATAAGGAAAGATTTACCTTGGCTCACCGTGAGAAGGCTCAGTCCATCACAGTAGAGAAGGCATGGTTGGGCTCATGTCAGCAGAAGGGTGTAGTAGCAAGCTGTTCACACCTCAGCAGATTGGAAGTAGAGAATGCAAACTACAACCAAGGGCAGGCATAGCCTTCAAAGTCTTGCCCCCAGTGACCCACTTTGGCTAAGCCAGCTCTTCCTAAAAGGCTCCAAAACAGCATCTCAAACCAGAGACTCAATGTTAAAGACACGAACATCTGGGGCTGTTTTAGATTCAAACCATAACGCCCCCGCCCTCACTCAGCACACATTTTAGTAGAGGAAGAAGTAAAATGAATGCAATCATTTCACAGGGCAGAGGAGTTAAAAAAGATTACGGTGATGAGGAGAAGGAAACACAGGGAGGGAGTCAGGTTAACATCTTGTGGGAGGGAACACATGAGCTGAGACCAGGGAAAGCCAGAGAGAACTAGCCATGCTAAAAGACTGGCACAGTACTCTCCTAAAAGCAGGGAAAACAAGCAGAAATAGCTTGGTATGGCTTGTGTTCCCTTTTATCAACAGGAAGCCATGGGAGAATTCTAAGTAGGGAGTGGCTATGCCCATCCTCTTCTTGGGGTCTCCACAATAACTAAAGTGCAGTGATCCTTAAGGCATTCTTTATTCTGTTTGGAGATAATCACACCGGGGAGATCAAAGTGCTGTCACAGAGCAGAGGAGAAGCTAGAGTTGTGACACTTCCATACTGAAGAGAGAAAAGTCAGCTCTGCTCACAGTCACTACCTCGGCCTGGGAAAGAAGAGAACTGGAAGGTAAGTCATAACTAGTGTCATTCTAGTTTACAGCTCTTGCTAAAACAGCTTAGAGAGGATGTGTGGGAAAGTGAATATCCAATTAAAACCCATCTCAAATACAGGCAGAATTGGTGGCTCTTCTCTCATTTATCAGAAATGGCTAAGTAGGTGTTACATAGATGAAACGGAGAACATTTCTCTCCAATGCTGCCAGAGGCCTTCTCTGTTTCCTCTGATGCTTTCTGTGGTGCGTAGGCCCACTGAAAAGAGCCATTCCCAGAATGCTCCTGGTAAGAATGCATCATCCATCTTTCCTGGGGTAAGGACAGGGATGACACTTTGGGAGGCATTGTTCGTAAGATTCTGCCAAGTTTCTCATGTTCTGTGACAGTCACTCAGCAAAACAGAAGTAGGATGGCCGTGGGAAGGACCTGGCCACTGATGATCTGATAGCTCTGGGCGCTCCTCTCTTTAGGGATGCTGAGAGCACAGTGATGCCACTGGCGTCAGGATGCCCTTCCATACATCTATGTTTATGTGATGCTGAGATGCCACTCTTAAAGGGTGAAAGTAGAGGAAGTATCCGTTTCCTCTCTCAAATCCACCACCTCTATTTAGACTACTCTGGTACCTCTAAACTCTTCAAGACTTCAGATTATCCTCAGTTTACATCACACACAAAATACTGCCCTATCCCTGCCTCCAATATACCATAAAATCTACAAGTGGGGACTATCACCTAATATAAAAACCTCAAGTGGTACATGAGAGAGAGAAGAGAATAAAATACAAATGCTGCTTCCCTGAAATAATAGCTGCTAAGTTTCTTGTACCTCTCCATAAATGGATGTGCTTGTATATAAGTGTTTATATCACTCATTACGTGGACTGATTACAGAATTTTAAATTACTTCTGGGTCAATGTGGTACACAAATAAATTTTATATTATTGCAAAACTAGAGAGTGTGTGCAGACACCCCTCATGCACTCACAGCACTTTTAGCCAGCACTCAGTCAAGTCAGGGGTTAGGGAGGACAGCTTTAGTCTGGTCCTCAGCAGACCTGAGCCTTCTGGCTCAGGTGTCCCTCCTGCAGGAGAGGGTGAGCTTTAAAATCCCTTTGAAAGTATAGGATTGAGTTTGGCTAACAACAGAGACACAGGCATGCAAAAGCCGGACTCTCAACTTCTTGTCAGCACCCAAAGTTCAGATAAAGGATGCAAATCTCAGAGACGACTGACATAACAGACTCCCAAGAGAATATGGATTAAGTTTCACTGGGACAGCTGCTTTTGATCCATTTCCTGTTCTGTCCTGTAATGGAGGAGTACTCTCATACCTATCACCCTTGGCATTGCCCTAGAATACACCAGCAACCCTCCCATCACTAGAACTGCCAACTCACTTCTCAGCACTGTGTGCCTCTCTGGAGCATCAGCATCCAAGGGCTTATAGGTAGTTTTCTATTGTGATAAGCCAGAGAGATGCACTCAATTTTTATTTAATAGCTTTAGGGTCACAACACAAGCCATTACTTAATTCTCATTCTTAAGTCTCATTTGCCACCTCAGGTGACAATTTGCCAGCTGCTAGGGAAGGAGTATCCCTGTTGTTCAGTCTATATGAACTGTAGGGAACTATACAAATAACTACCCGTGGAGGAGAGGACTGGGAAGAGGCAGGGGAGATGCTCAGGAGAGAGAACAGTGCTGAGAACATGGATTCTCCACCCCTACTGAAGACCCAGTCAGCATCTGACTTCAAGCTCACCATTATCAAAGCCACTAAAAATGACTTGATGTTTTCACCCTAAATCAAAGCTGGGAGAAAGGAAAGATGGAGGCTGGAAGAACGGTGGGCCCCCTAGGAGTTGGTACAGGGCACACCCAGACACTGAATTCTCAGCACAAAAGATTTATCTCCCGGAGGGACAAAGTGGATGGGGGCTGCAAAGGCAGAGCAAGCAGCAGGAGCAAACAGCAAGCAGGTGGTGTTTCACGGGAGTGGGTTTTTAAGGAAGAAAAGGGGGAGTCTGCTAGAGTGAGTTGGTAAATCCTGATTGTACACATTAGCCAAATGATGAATTCTGATTATTGGATCTTGGTGTTTTGTCTCAGGAACAAGTCAGTGGCAAACAAGGGAACAACCTTGGGGGCTAGCTGTAGGAATGTAATCTAATGGTTTATAGCAAGGAGAGGGAAATGGGGACGGGCACTATCTGTCAGCACTATGTTTGCCATGCTCGGAGCTGTGTTTGTCAAGCTCAGGCCTGTTAGAGAAGCCTTCAGAGGCTAGGACCCAGAGCTGGAAAGCTCTCTGTTCTGCCACGGCTAGACAATCCCAGAACTCTGAGTCTGCACGTGACACTTACTGAAGAGAACACAGCAGTGCGTGTGTCATGCTCCTTATTATTGTCCTTTGAAACTGTGCCTTTCCATGGCTTCTTCCCTGTGAATGACAGGATACTTCAAACACTTCCTAGTTAAGGAGCTGTTCCTTACCTGAAAGGAATTCATCTGGCAAAGGGACAGAGGCAGTGATGCATTGCTCCTCGACAGTATCAGCAGCAGCTCCAGGCAGGTCGCAGAGGGCAGAGTCAAAGGGTGGACACTGATGTCACTTTCCCATGAGCGAGCAAGCCTGAAACACACAGATAACGTTAACTTTAGTAAGTACATAGTCAGAATTACTTTAAAAAAATATGACATAGAGGAAATTTTGTTCATTGTTTTGTTTTGTGTGCATATGTGGAGAATATATAAAATGTAGAAATAAAAATATGTCAAAAATTCACAAGGTAGGGCTCCATGGATAAAGGTGCTTAGCACCAAGTCTGAGGACTTGAAAAAGATCCCCAGGCCCCACGCGGTGAAAAGAAAGAACTGACTCCTGTAGGCTATCCTATGACCTCTGGTGTGTACTGTAGCATGTGACACACACACACACACACACACACACACACACACACACACCAAAATAACACAGAATAAACTTTTTATATTCACATGGTAAACATCCAAGACATTTTTATGTTGTTTCTGGCATAAAGGAGACAGATGACTCATTTTTCAAGTGATCACTTAATAGTCAAAGTATAATAGTCTTAGGACAGACAGGCTCATTTGAATGAAACCTGCTGGGGGTGGGTTGGGAGCCATAACAGCTAACACATTTAATGTCTCCCATGTTCCACATGCTCGTTCACACACAGTGTCTAGATGACCCTCTAGCCACCTAAGCCAGAGCTGTCATTCCATTTTATCGATGTGAACATGTTCTTGAGTGTAGACAACCTTAGGAAATGTCTTGGTTGCTGACATTCAAACTTTTGAAGTGTTAGGACCCTTTTGTTCAAAAGTCTTGCCCACAGGACAACTGTCATGCAAAGAAAAGCAACGGTGCTATTTCAAGAGGTTGAACTGGGAGAATGCTGCCCTTCATCCTTCAGAGGGGCCCTTGAAGAGGCTCTGAGCCATGTGTGGAGCCCATTTGAAGACTCTTTCATGTGAGAGCAGGAAACTGAGCATTGACACTAGACAAAGAGAGACGTGCCGTCTGAGATGAGGCAGATATGGAGAGAGTGGTAAGGCTGCTTCTGGAAACCTGACTTTCAAATTCCCCATTTACTGAGAAAACTCAGGCAACAGTGATGAGAAAACAATGCAGGAACAGTCTAGACCTAAGCTTTTGCTTCTGTTGGCTTGAGAGTTCCTTATGTGATGGCCACTAGAGCACCTGCCACCGTTCTAAGTTTGAAAGAGAACCAAATAGAAAATACATAGACCTTTACTTTTATTTTATGAAGCTTGCTTAACCTCTGCAAATCTGACTTTATACAGATGAGTGGTAGCTGGCAGCAGCTTAGGAGCACTGGTGGTAGAGGCATGACGAGCTTCAACATTACAGAGGACGTCATGATGGGGATTTAACTCTATCACTATGAATTTATTCTGTTGATCCATTTCTGCTGTGGGTGGCAGAGTTAATTAACTCTGCCAACTGGCTGGACTAGAATAGACTGCGCACACTCTCCTATATACGATCTGACTTCAGCAAGGATGCGTTTGAATGAATTCTCTACACTTCAGAAACTGTTATTTTATATTGACTGGTTCTGCTATTCTTTCTGCTCCTGCTCATTATATTACATGCTCAACATTTCTCTGAAATAGAAATAATGATGTCATCTTCTCAAAAAGCGAAACAGTTGCAGTCCAGTAGTTCCAGGCTCATCTTCCACCCCTCTCTTTGTGCCCTCGCCAAGCCACACACTTAACTTCCTGTCCTGTATAGCATTGAACTATATACTCTGACCAGTAGTGGCAGCTTCTAGGTCTAGACTGTAGGTTTTCCTTCCCATAGACTTGAACTCCTCCTAAAAGATGTGCACAAAATCATTTCCTTGGAGAGCCCCTGTGTCTTGTTGCCTAATAACTCTTGGATATCTATTACAGCACTTACCACTGCCCCACCGGTGTTCTCATTTGGAATGTGTTAACTATCTCTCAACCTCCAGGATTAGGATTAGACAGGAATGGATTCCTCTTACTTTGCAGTCTTATTTGGACATAAAGATTAGAAAGTTGTCTCAAAGCTGATTCTTTTATATACACCCTGTTTTGTTTTTCAGGTCTGGGGATCAAACCCAGGGCCTGTGCACACTAGGTAAGCATGTACCCCACTATGGTACATGCCCATTCCCACTCAGTATCACTGCCTTTTAAAGGCGCAACAGAAGTGCCCCCCAACACACACACATACAACTGTATGTTAAAAAGCAATTTTAAGCACTCAGAATTTAGACTTTCAAACTCACTACCCATAATCGGACTCACTGAAGCTATTTACATTCCGCAATTTTCAAATGTATAGTAAAAATAGTTGTTTCAAACCTGCATCTCATTAAAAGCCACATGACACTTCTTTAGAATGTAAATGTCCCCTGGAGCTCTCCAGTGAACCCTGGCCCCTAACCCAGGCTGGTCATGAGCCTTCAGGAAGGGTTTCTTGACTGAAGTGTGCATTGCTGGGCCTGCTGCACTGCAGGAGAGCACATGCCAGGCAGGACCACTTTCTCATCATTTTCCATCCCTTTTTGGCAGTAATATTTTTTCAAGCAGAAGAGAAAACAATAAATACACAAATAAATATTTTAAGAGCTGTCTGGATTTATTATGGTTGTAAGATGTTCTCTACAATGTGTGCTTACATTTTATAAGTACAGATCTTACGTTTCTTCCATCATTTATCCTGTGCCTAACACATCCAGACAATGGGCCAGGCATACTGGCTGTATTTGTCATCTCATTTCCTAGAGGAGCCCTGACTGGCAGGCACCGTTCATTCCAGCAGTCAGAAGGGTTATATGATTATAACCAGCACCACATGGTGAGTGAAACTGTCGGGATCAAAGTAGTCAGCTTGGCTTGATCCAAAGAATATGATGGCCCCATCACTCTACGTGGGTACCTGAGGATGGTGTGTAGACTTTCATCCTTTCCATGCAGAAAGAAGCAGACCCTGGGTAACTGGATGTGCTGATGCCCCATCTCTCTGGACATCAAGCTTTTAGCTTGTAATGTGTGGCGCTCAGAATATTTTCACTCTTTTACAAGAAGTTATTTTTATCTTCCTCGAGATATTACTTTATTAATAAAGCATTCCAAAATTTGAATTAAAAAGGCAAAAGGACACGCACGGGGAAATATTCATATTAAATGAAAATATCCATGCACCAGGTAAAAAAGATTAAGAAATAGTGTAACACATCAATGGATATTTTCCTTAGAGGAAAATAACTTTGTCATTTTGTTCTCCTCCACAACTTTTTATTTTGCCCAGAAACGACTTACTTTCATGGTGTTGCTATCAATTCTGGTATAGACAAAGGCATGCTTCAATGTTGGGTAAACGTTTCAACATTCTAAATGGCTGTGATGTGAACCTTCGAAAAGGGCATTCAAACAAAAATGAAAACCTTTAGCACTGCCTTGTCATTCACTGGCAAGTCATCCTGGCTAAGCACACTGTGGCAAGGTTACTTCAGAAAACCCTGAGGTTAGTACTTGACTCATATAATATGTTACAGCAATATCTCATATAATATGCTACAGCATTATGATTTATATGGAAGGACATTTTTACACTGATAGTGGCAAGAGTTACAAGGAAAAGTGATTATCCATGTCCCTATGTGATTATGAACATTTGCATGGTTTGAACCCAGCTCTTAAGATATCCTGTGATTGGGCAGTTTTCCTTACTAAAGCCCACTAAGGGAAAGCCTGTTGCCCTGACCCCAGAGCCAAGAAGTGACACACGAGCATGGCCCTTCCCAGCTAAATCCACACTCTGCACTCTACCATAGCAAGTATACTAGATATTTAGTTGCTTCCATCCCAAAAGACTGCAACACCAAAGGTCAACATACACCAACTTTCAGGTATCCTTAATTCCTCACTTTAGGCAATTTGAATAAACTGTTTGTGCAATTAGACAAAGCAGCCAGACTTAAGCTGGCTCAGGTTTCTCATACTCAACCTGACCCAACAACGAGTCCTACAGCACATTATCTGTCAATGCTAAAATTTACAAACTGCCTTTAATTTTAATCACTCCAAATATTATTTTAATCGCATTAATACGTAGGCTAGGATAGTATTACATGAAAAATAAAAGTAATTGTTCAGGAGAGTAAGATCTCTGGGTATCTTTTCTCTAAATCTTTAGATAATATTTTCATAGTCTTATTCAATTAAGAAAGCAGTGTGGAGATAGGGGAGAGGAAAAAGACAGGACAGATGCAAAAAGGAGGGGGGAATGTCAGGACATACTTAAAATTCATTTCACATTAAAACAGTCACCAGTCATCAAATGGATTTCAAGACACATGTTGACAAAGCTGAGGTGTCATTTGTAGCTATCCACCCATGACTCAAACATTGGTACTAACATCCGAAAATGAAGATGACCAAAGCCTGTTGTGCATCACAGGGCAGAATTTGGCGTATTTTTTGCAAAGCATCTATTAGATGGCAATCAGTCATTCTCCACTAGCAGTCAACAGGAAAGATACTTCAAAGGGAACAGCAAACCAAACATCAGTCGAAAGTTATTTCTGTGACTTTTAAGTGCCGGGAAGGAAAAGCTTTCCTAAGAGACCAGAAGTGTCAGTTGGGTGACCTGAGTCTGAGAGACTAAAATGCAAGATGAGGACACACAGTACACTTTCCTAAACCTTTGCATCAGGAAAATTCCCAAGAGTCATAACTATGTGGCCTGTCTATTTTGGGACAACGGAAGGGGAGAAATGTCACCCTTTCACTTCCAACAAAAATGGTGATAATTGAGAATGAACAAGCCAATCAATATCAAGAAAACAACCCAGAAAAATAGAAGGTTAAAAACATGGAAGTCATTTAATATCATGTAAATCAGAATGATAGAGATGGCACAGGAGAGCAATACTAAAAATTAAAATATCTTTAAAATGTCCAATATAAGGTATGAGACAAGATAGTAGTATGAAAGAACCAAGATGAAAGATGCTACCGAAGATCTTTTATCTCTTGCACTTTAATAGATGATTCAGTCTTTTCAAAGCTAGAACAAAGACAATAGTGTATAAAAGATATCTAAAT